TCAATCACTTTCCCCAGTCACACACAGTCAATCAAGCATTCCTGTATGCGACCAAGCCAGTCCTGACTGAGACTGATCTTGAGCCAATGCCAGTTGGCATCGTAGCATTCAAAAATGCCACCGACAATCCTACGACAGTCTTGCACACATCCCTGGCAATCGACTTCAGAGGCTTCTCTTTGTCATATTGGACAATCCCAAAAGCCCTGCCAATCTCAAACGCATACGTCTCAATGCTGGCAACACAACAGCTATTGAATAGCCAGTCTGCACCTCAATTGCATTCAAGATGGTTCTTTTCGGCACGTCATTCTCCGTCGCCAAAATCTGGATCACAAGTTGCGTGTCATTCGTTCTTCTTAGTCTCATGTTTTTCGCGACCTTTCGATTTCACACAAGGCCCAGGTCCCTGAAGGGCAGGTGTGTCACTTCGTGCAATCGCCGCTCACTCTCCGAAGGTTCGCCAGGAACCTTCAACATTTTCGGCCTTACTGCACTCCTGTCCTCATCTGCATCGTTGCCAGCAGCCGATCAAGAGGAACAAACAATGGGTATCCAACCCATTTGTGACCAGGGACCTTCTGGGTCGTCACATGTATCGATCATTGCCGGGTCACTTGGGTCGAAGAACGTTGTGTAGTTATCACCCCACAAGCATTCACTCAACAATCCATCAACAGGAGAACTCCCAATCAAGAGCAATATCCGCGACTAACCCCTGCTGCATCCAGGTAGCCCTCTTCACCAACATCCCAAGCTTTGTACGACTTGTAGTCGGTCTCCATTCCTAGCCATTCAACCGGAGTCTTCGCCCACTTGCAGGGATATCCCAGCACGGAGAGGAAGATATAACACAAAGGTATCCCCTGCCGCCCCTTCGCGCCTATCCCCAGGGCCTCGAGGTCATCGGCGTACAGGAGTGGCTCTAGGCGGTTTCCGGGGCCCACCAGACGATGGGTAGCCCGTATCCCACAACCTTGTGGGAAATGCTGCGCGATGCACCGTAGCAACTCATGGAGCGACGATTTCTCGTCATCGCCATCGCCGATGGGGCATACCAGTACCATTGGCGGGTGGGTCATAGTACGCAACTACGCACGCCCAGCTGTGGTCGGGTCGCATCGGAATCTTCCGATACGCGTGAGGCAAGTCCTCTCCAAACGTGGAGATGCTGTCTAGCCAGGACTCGAGGTCGACTCCTCGTAAGGCGAAGGCCCTTGCGAGAGCTTGGATATGGAGGCAGGGCTGAATCACGCAGAATTGCAACTTGTTTCCATCAGAACTGAAGTCGCTTGGAAATCCCAAGTGTGCGTCATCGATACATCTTTTCTTTCCTGAGGATTGAATGATGACAAAGCGGCGAATGAGGCGAAAGGGGGTGCGCAGGGAGAGCAACTCCTCCCAGCCCATACTCGGGCCACAAAATCCTAACTGCTCGTCCTCATCGCCTGCTGTGTAGGCCGCATAGGCCACCTCATCCTCAGGTCCGGGCTGGATCTGATTGAGGATACTGCGGGCGTCCAACTCGCCCTCGTGCTGACAATCCTGGCGATGAGCACACCAAAGAGTGCGCCAGATGAACGTGAGGGTTCACCTTACGCACCTCGGGGTGTTCCAGCTCACGAAGCTGGTCGGATGTATCCTGCAAGCGGCGAGCAAGCTCACGGAGAAAGGCCATAGCGTCCTTTTGCGGCAACTGACATCACACAAACCGCCAGCCATCTTTTGCGCCGCGAAGTTGATGTCAGGCTCAACAACAGCATCCCAATCCAAAGGACAACCTCGGCACTGGCAGGAAAGAGCAAGACTGAAATGCTCATCAGGGGTCTCTGGCCAAATGGGATAACTGGCTGGAACTTACGCCTAGCTGCGAGGAAAACACAGGCATGGTAGTAAAAACCCTGCCAAACAACCCGAAGCAGTGTAAGCTCCGACCTGTAGGACCTGCTGTGTGGCAAGCAGAAAACCTGAACACACGTTATCAGAGGCAACTCTCGGAGCATCTCTGCATGAAATATCCTGGATGCCTCGGGGCTGCTGGGGCGATTTGAGGGGCGTAGGCCAGTCGGTCCCAGGCAGGGGGACTTCACGAATGCAGGACTTAGTCGAGCAGTCAATTGCAGCTGACGACAGGTGACAGCAGGGCAACACTTGCCGATGGCATGCTGGACTGAACTGCGTGACATCAAAACGTGAATCATCTGCCACTCCACTGGCTGCATGACTGTCCACCCCGCAAGAGCAAAGGCACGGCTGAGAGGAACGGGGCCTGACAACAAATCCAGAAAGACTAGTACCTGGCACGGGGCTTCATCAACATGAGCCGTGGGTTCCCAAATAGCTTGCAACTCGGCAACAAGCCGTGGAAAGCATGTATCCTGCAACTCAGGATAATTAGACAGATTGGCAGCGCACTCGCTGTTTTGCGGCGGGTCGGGCAACTCTAGCAACGATTGCCCGGACGATCTGAGGGCCGCAAACACGCCCAGTGCGGAAGGACGGCGCATCGACGCTTATAACCCTTAGGACACCTCCTCTGGAAATGGAAGCTGCGAGGCATGCTTCGTTGGATCGGAGCTGCTGCCTCGATTGCCGGTCTTGCGATCCTTCCTGGCCAGCGGGGGCGGCGGTGTAGACGGCTCCCCTTGCTCGGCTTCATCGAGCGGGAGTCCCTCTCCTGCATCACCTCAAAATGCCCCGACCCCACTGTTGCCCATGGAGAATCGCTGGGCCCACTGCCCACGCTCCGCCCTGTCCAGTTTCTCGATGTACGACCCTTCGGTCAACTCCGAAGTGAGCCTCTCACTTCTGTACCAGTACTGCGTGAGCACAACCGAGCGGCACTTGCGGTCCAGGTTTAAGGCCATGCCTCGCAAGATACCTCAGGCCAAAATGGCAAAATCCAAGCCTGAGAGTAAGAAGCGACCGCAGAGAGGAGTAGACCCCACTTGCTGTTGTCCCTCCGTCGCTTCGGGTCTCCACTCCTGCTTCGTCTTGAGTCGGAGGAGGAGCTGTTTGATAGGTTGGGGCGTGAACGCTGGCAGCGTCCCGGCCATGGAGGCCAGCCTTGCCAGCAACTTTGCTGGGAGGCTTGCCCCAGTCATCTTACCGTGTTCACGCGCCACAACGTTGGCCTTATTGTCACTTGCTTCCGTGAGTCTTTGCCTACTCCCACAAGGGAGCCATGCATCGCAACTTGGTCATCACCCACGTCCCATCCAGGAACGATGATTGTTCAAAATCAAGCCCTGCGTTATCCGCAACGGCGAGTCCATCTACGTCCATTGCGTGGCAGGTGTGCATCGTGCCAGCTGTGTTGCAGGGAACATTGTGGCACATTTGCGGGATTTGCGCGACCTTCGAGCCATCGAGCCCGAGAAGGTGTTGGAGCGTAACGCTACGACGCGCAAGTGGCTCCGGCAGCAAGCTGACTCCCCAGTTGCACCGCAGGCGACAGTTGAGTTGCCAACGCAGCTCGTGCGTGGAGTCCAGCGGGGCGGCCATTCATGCTCTCGCCGAAAGTAGCTCGCGAGAGAAGCCGCAGCCGGCTTGCGCCTGGAAGCACAACACCGCGGCCTCCTTACTTTTCGTGAGGCCCAGTGGTTTTGCGACGATCCTCTGGAAGCGCTTGGCTGGGGACATCCTCAAAGCCTGTAACATTATGATGCCAGCCAAAGTGCAGGCCCCCCTCGAGGACAACAACATCAGCTACCGATGAGCCGATCGCCGACCCCAAGGTTTCCAAAAGCAGCTCTGCGAGTGAGAGTTTTGACTTACGCGGTGTGAGTGTTGCGCAGCTCCCTCAGGCCCTTCCTCAGCTCCTTTTCTCTCAGGTCAGGATTAAGCTCTAGCATCATGTCCCACTGTCGTGCGCCAGGATGCCCCCGCTTGGCGTTTGGTGGCCACTTCTACTGCTGCGGCAGGCGCAGGGACAACGTGGCGTTTCTATGGGGACGATTACCGGCGTTGTTGTCGGGGTTCCAGACCTGCAGCTACACAAGGGGCTGGTGTGTACGCCGGCGTTGCCCGTGGCTTTTGCAGAATGCTCTGGGTGACCCCGATGCCTCATCTCCTTCTACATGATTGCCCAAAGCATCACCCCTGAGAGCCGCCGTACGTTCCATCAGCAGCTTCTTTTGGTTTTTCACCCAGATCGTAATTGAGTGGTGGAGGCACACGCGATCAGCAGGGTGTTGACCCAGCTGTTGAGCCTATGATCCTAGTATAATTCACCGTGGACCGGAGGGTCGTAAAATCACTCTACTCGTGAATGCAGTGCGGAGTGTGCGAGGGCGGATTTACTCGCGACTGATGTTTTCGCAGCCCTTTTCTGTAGCAGGTGTCGTCGGTTTCTCTTTGCTTCCATCTTTTGCGCCATGGCTACTAAGGATGCTGTTTTCGAGGAGCTCGCCAACCGGTTCAAGCTCGAGGACCAGGTGCAGAAGCAGATCCTCAAGGTTGGCATCACCACCTTGTCCGAGTTCACGTGGTTTGTGAAGGATGATGACGAGCATGTGGCTACGTTTTTCACACCAGTGGAGGGGGCCCTTACCAACAAGCCTCTTCAGAAAGCCCGCGCAGCGCTGCATCACGAAGCATACTTTGGCCTTGGTCAATGTCTGGGATGCGCGAACAGTGATGAATCAGCGTACAGCCGGGGCAGGCAGGAAGCGCAAGGTTGGCGATTCCGTTGAGATTCCGTTTACGTCGCGGAGAAGCCGGACGAGGATGATGCCGACGTGGCCAAGGGCTAACACACCTACCTTATGCAGCTCCGGGTCTACATGCATGCCCTGGCAATACCCGGTCGGGGCCAGCCTGTTGGAGAGCACCTCCAAAAAACCAACCAGCAAAGTCAAGATCCTAAAGGAAACCTGCTCGAAGGCGCACTCCCGGCGCCTGCTTTGCACCATGACCCACACCAGTGGCAGCAGCCTTTTTCATGCTAATATCCAGGCCCAAACCCACTGCAAAATGCAGGTGATTCTTCATGAAGAATATGGCTGGCAGCACCCTTGTGTTGGCCTTGCTCTGCACCACAAACGATGCTGCAGAGATAGCCGAAGGGCTATGAGTGACAAGCCCTTGCTGGTTACAATAAATCACCAGCTCCTCCCAGGTGCGACACACCTTCCCAGAGTTGTCGACTCTGTCCCCTGCAACAAAGGGAACAGGACCTGATCGACAATACCGTCCACCGACGCTCCTTGGAGTTGTGTGGAGTATTTGCTACCTCGGATCAGGATATCCCGCAACACGGGGCGGTGCTGTGTGTTACTCTCCAGCAGAGGAGTGGCACTTGGTTTACCGGGCGTCACTCGCCGAACCCTGAGCACTGGCGGAGTGGGAGGTTTGACCTTGGGCATAGCCTTTGCGAGATCGGAGGGTACCAAAGGCCTGCTTCCTCTGTCTGCAAAGCATAAATGTCACGCACCCTCGCGGCTGGCCCGGACTTGCATTCTTGGGATGCCACTTCCCAAGCAGCGGCCACAACGGCCCCGCAGCCTCAAGAGCTTGAGCTTTACTGGCGAAAAAAAATGGAATCTCCTCTCGAGTTTCAATCCATGAACACCTCCATCCTGCAACACAGGTCCAAAACGAAACTCCTGTCACTCTTTTGGTTTGATAGTAAACGGCAGCGGTATCACATACATTCAAGCTCAAGTGGCGCGACCTACTTTCGCAGTCACGGCCAAAATGCACACAGGAATGATTTCAGCTCACCAAGCCTGCCCGAAGCACTAAGCTGGACAATATACATAATATGGTTCAGCGTTATTATATGAAACTCGTTGTATGAACATACTTTAACAGAAATATTTCAACCAATAATGTAAAATAATACAACATAATATAGTTATCCTATGGTATATATACATGGGAGGGAGCCCGTCAACATGCTAATGCGCCGCGCCGGGTTGCCAACAGAATTTTCGAGATACTATGTTTAAGCTGCGTTTTGGCATGTCGACGGGCACATTTTTGCATGTTGACGGACCTGGCATGGATGGTTTTGGCATGTCGACGGGCCATTTTTGCATGTTGGCGGACCTGCCATGGACTGGTTTAGCTTCTTCACGGGCCTGCTTAGCATGCTGAGCGGTCACGGGAATGCTTGGTTAGATAAGCTTTTCTGGCTTTACTCCCCGATCGCTGAGCTTGCGCACTTTTTCCGCCGTGCCCGACTCGCTCATGACAGCAAGTCTCATCTCCTGCTGCCGGCGGCTTTTCGTCAGTCCTGCGAACTGACAGCAGCAGTGCAGGTTAAGATTGGTTGCGTATTGCCCTAATTGTTAGTGATCTCGGAGCCGTTGGCGCTGCACTGGGGGCTTGCGTCCGGATCCTACGCTGGAGACTAGGTAAAGTCGACTCACGAAGGCGCCCTTGGCGAGAAGTGTGCGAAGATGCCGCGTTGCTGGAGACCACTGGTTTGGGAAGTTATCCCAATATCCTTTTGAGGTTTCAACTAAACACTACTATCCTGCACGGTTGCTTCAAAGGTTCTACTACCGCAGCCTCACTGATCAATTACCAACACTATTCCTTCGGGTTTCTGACTTCACCCTAAACCCTTAACCAGTATAAGCATACAGTACCTGTTCGCACAGACATGGGCCTCAAAGCGCCTAGGTTTGGCCTTCAAGTACCCAATGCTTATTCAGTTTAGGGTTTGGCGAG